ACCTTCATTTGAATGCAAGTATCATTCTTATCAAGTAATTTTTGGCACGTGGCCCCTTGGTGAGCCCAGCACTGAGGGCGGGGAGACTGTTTCCCCTCCGTGTGTGGCCGGTCTTGATGTTATCCTCCACAGATGGGGAATCCAGGGCTTAGCCAGGTGAGGAAACTCGGAAGAGCCAGCGAATGTTCCAGTCTGGGGCTGTTCTGACTCTGTAAAGTCTGTGCTCTCAACCAGCACCCTGGTTAGGAAAAGACAGGTGTCACCTTCCTGGTGTTGGCATGTGTTCTGAAAGGTCCATGGGCCTTGGTGGTCTGGCCCCAGACTCTGGTGGTTGGCACACCAAGGGGCCTCTGCCGGCTCTCTAGCTGGGCTTCTGCCTCCTGACGGAATCTGCGCAGGCAGCCTTTCCTGGGAGAAGGTGTCTGGCTCAGCAGAATTCAGGTTTCTATGCTGTTGGCTGGGATTCTTTCATGTGGCTGCAGGGTGATGCTGGTTTTATGAAGTCGGTTAACTGAGACAGGGAGAATCCATGGCCAGATTGCATTTATCTGGTGGCAGCATCACTCCAAGCTGTGCCACTGGGGGTGATGGGAGCCCCGGGACCAGAGGGGGCCTGGTGGTTGGAAGGTGTGGGCTCCTTCCCTATGGGGGCTCTTGTCTTTCTGGAACTTTCTGGAACTGGGGGTGCTCAGGACACAGTCATCTGCTCTGAACAAATTTTTTTTGCTTGTTGAAGGCGAGTCCCTGATCCCTGTGACCTGGAAGAGTTTAGCTCTGTATTGAAAGAACTGACAATGAATAGTTTCAGGGTCACACACCCAGGGGACTCTTGAAGAAGTGGCCCCGTGCTCCCATGTTTGGTGGGAGAGTGAATGAGTGCAGCCTCTTTGGGGGTGAGTGGCAGTACTCACCCAAATGAAAAGAAACTGTTGCAGTGAGGCTCCAGGGTGAGCACCCACCCCACCAGCACCCTGTGTGAGCACAGCTGCGGGGCCTCTGCAGGTTGACCTGGCAGGCTCCCTCCCACCCTGAGCTCGGCCACATCACCCTTCTCAGGAGGGCCTGCCTATACGGAACTTGCGCAGGAGCCAGGCCAGGGCCTGTCTGACCCACACCATCCCTGCCGAGAGCCCCTCACGGCCCACCACCTCCCAGACACTCAGGAGACTCAGGGCCAGGTGTCTGCTGCCAGTCAGAGGTGCTAGTGCAGCGGGCGTTCAGACCGCTTCTGTGAGGACTACCTTCCTCACTGTCTGCGCAAGCCTTCCGTGAACCACTCGCTTTAATTAAGATGAAGGCTGTTATCTCATTTTTATTGGCTCCTATCACTTTGAGAAATTAAAGAGCTGTAGACAATTACCCTGGAGATCTGCCATCCAGAACAAATATTTTTAATATTTTCATCTTTTTTGAATAAAATAAATTTTAACGCTGCAGCTGAAGTATCGTCATTTTTAAAAATATCATTTATTAGACCTCAAAAATCTGATTACAGAAGTCATACGTGCTCATTGCAGAAAAACTGGAGAAAATTGAGAAACACTAAGAAAGCAAAAGTCACCCGCGGCCGTGCCACCTCGTGACCCCCGGAGGTTTTCCTTTTGTCTCTGTGCTGTGGTCCCTGGGCAGCACCGTGGGAGCTTCCGGGGCTGGGCCATGGCCCCAGCCTGACACACATGTGCGCGCCCCGGTGTCCTGAGACCCTCAGGACCACAGCTTAGCCCCGGGCTTCATGTTAGAAATAACCCTGCAGGGGGCGCCCTGTGCGTGACTCCACCTGCACCTCTAATTTCCTTGGGATGCATTTAAAAGCACACATGTGGGAGCAAAGGTCCTGCCTTTGCTGGTTCCGTGTCTTATTTTGAAGGGTCTGCTAGGTGTCCTTTGCGGGGCTGAGTCGACGCTCTGGGCCTCCCTAGACTGGGGCGCCGTCCAGTGAACGTGTGTGGGGCCCTCCGGGCAGCGCCCTGTCACAGACCTGGCCCTCGGGTACGCCTCGTCACACGTGGTGTTCCAGAGCAGCTCAGAGCACGGGGCAGCTAGGCCTGGCCTGCTGCTTTGTGGCCTCGGGCCTGTGGCTTCATCTCTGTCTCCCTTTGGAGGTGCTGCTGTCACTGCCCGGCCCCCACGGCCATCTGTGCCCACTGGAGATTTGCTGTCGTGGAGTCGGAAGTCAGTGAGCCCACCCTCCCCCGCGCCGGGGGCAGAGTGGGGCTCTGCCCTGTCTCCCGGTTCCTATTCAGAGTGCTCGGGCCCCAGCGTTTTGTGGACTGCCCCCACCCCAGTGTGGTGCAGCCCCGGGGCCTGGGGAGGCAGGCACCGAGCTCACCCCTCCCAGCCCCTCGCCAGCTGATCTGCACGGAGGAACGCAGAGCTGGCTGCGTCTCACGCCTGCAGCTGTGGCATCGCATCTGATGCCCTCTGACGCCTGCTGGGCAGAGGCGCAGAAGCAGCAGCCGCTTTCTGGCGTCCATCTGTTCTCCGTGTGTCTGTCTGTGGCAGCAACACAGAGCTTCAGCCCCCGGAGGATGCTGTCACTTCAGCGGGCCACCTCCAGCATTGTCACCAGCAAGTTTGGCCTCCGCCAAGACCCAGACCCTGTGCGGGCAGGTCGCTGTGCTGTTACGGGTTCTCTCTGTTCTCCTTTCTCCCGCCTGTGAGGCAGATAGAGAAGAACGTGCTAGAAGTGAGAAAAGGAAGCATTTGAAGCTGCTGGTTCGCTCTCCACCAGCTCACTTTCTGAAACTGGCACACCTCGCACGTTTACGGCATTTCTTGTTTTCTCTGGTCAGGCTTCCCTAGAGTCGCAGAATCCAGAAGGTGCCAAACCAGCTGCGATCCTGCCTCAGGCTCCTGCAGGCGCCGCGCACAGGGAAGGCGCAGGGCCCCCCTGGGCTCTGTGGACTCTGCCTCTTCCACCCGGGGAGCGTGGGCCTCCGGGGAGTTAAGAGAACCCATTGCTGGTGGGGGCCCTGGAGTCTTAAGGGCTGAGGGGGGTTCGCTGATGCCCCTGCGGGCAGAAGGGTGCCTCCTGGGGCCAGGCTTCCGCCCGCTTGGCCGAGAGGCTGGCGACCTTCCACCAGGGGCCCCCAGCTGCAGGGGACCAGTGCCAGCCCGCGGAGGGTCTCAGGACAGAGTGGAGCTCGGGCCGCAGGCTTACTGGTGTGAGGTGGTTGGTTTGGTTGGGTCATTGTACAGTGTTGTGTGCAGATTGCTGTTTGAATTAAGAACAGACAGCAAAACTGTACGCATCACAGACATAACACGTTAGTTTTCCTCTGTAGCAAGTGGATGAAAGAAGAGTGAGAGTTTTCGGGGGAGAACATGCCGAGCGCGGAGCAGCAGGCCCTCGAAGCAGCGTGCGGGCTGCCCGCCCAGCACCCCCACCTTCCTGCTTTGCTGGGCCTATGGGAACCAGGCGAAGTTTACAGGCTTATTTGACGCTGTTGTCGGACAGCTCCTTGGCGGGCGTCTGCATCGGCCTCTGATGGGGGAAGCGCCCCTGGGGTCGCGCTGCCTGCTCCCCAGGCCGTCACCAGGGGGCGCCGCCCCACCCCCAGGCCTTGCATGAGCAGCATCAGGTCCCCTCGTGGGCTCTGACAGCCTTGGGCTGCGGCGTGGCTGGCTCTGGCGGGAAGGATGGCTGAGGCTGGGGAGGCTCCGGCTGGGCTCTCGTCCCTGACTTAGGAGCTGGGTGGCTTGGCTTCCCTCGTGGGGGAGGCAGGGCTAAAAGTGGTTGCCTGTTTATCCAGCTGTTGAAAGTGAAATCACAGGTGAAAATACCTTGTGATGTGTTGAGTGTATTATCACTGTCAAGATCATACTCGTGAAAACCCTCTGCGAACGACTTGGAAAGCTGGGTCTGGGACACTGCTCTGGCTGAGGGCACTCCCAGAGAGGGAGGCACGGTGACCCTTACTCGTGGCCGTGGGGAGGGTGTGGCAGTGGGGACTCCGGGCCCCAGAAGGAACTGTCTTCAGTGGGATGGCAGGTGGGCTCCCGACCTCTTGAGCTTAGAGAACTTCAGCTCTAAGCTGCCATCAATGCAGGGGCAGCTCGGAAAGTGGGCGCCCTTCCTTGTTACGGGCCCCGTGCAGCTGCCCCAGGAGGGAGGTGTCCTGGAGCAGGGCAGAGTCAGGCGGCCCCTTTCCCTGGCCTCCCTGCTCTCCAGCACTCTGGAGACTTCCAGGTGGACTCGTGGGTCACCGCGCTCGTGGTGAGCCCTCCTTCTTCCTGACTGTTTGGTCTCTTGGGTCACTGTTTAGCGGTTAGGTTTGAGGGGAAAGAGGAAAAAGTTACGTTTCAGTTTTTTAAAAAAGACTGACACCCTGCAGAAAGGTGAACTTGCTCTATTTAAGACAAGTTCCTCGACATCCACAGTTGGGCAAGGGTCCAAGAGCAGGAGGCGGCCCCGTGCCTGTTCTGCTCGCCGGGGTCTCTAGGCCCCGCTGCTGGTGGACAGGGAGCGTAGGGGGACCCTCGAACCACACAGGGCTGAGGGCGCCGACCCCACACAGTCGAAAATCCTCACGTCACTTTCCAGTCGGCCCCCCCGGCCCTTTGTCCACGTCCCGTTCCTGTTCCTCCCCAGTCGCATTTCTGCATGGAGCGCCGTGGCTGTGGTCAGCAAAACCCCCGCCGAGGCAGTGGGCCCGCGTCGTTCAGACCGTGTGGCCCGAGGGCCGCCGCCTTCACTCTGTGGCCCTCAGTACTGACCCCGCTCACCTGGCTTCTTCCAGGGTGAGGTTGTTAAAAAACCATTATTCAGAGTTTACCTGAAATGCACTGCCTTCTGTTTGCTTCTCCTTGATCTTCCTTTAGTTCCTGGCTTTAGAACCTTGTATGTTTTTAAAATCCTTAAACTAATGAGATTAAATAAAATGCCGAAACATTGGTCATTTAAGTTCCAGAAGCGTGTATCGGGAGTGCTGGCATCTCCTGTTCAGGATGTCACCTCGTGACTGAGCCAAGCCAACTTTGCCGGGTTGCTCTGGGGTCAGGACGGGACCGGACAGTACCTGTGGTGTCCTCTCTTCCAGCCGGTGTCTGCCCCGCCATGCCGCCCCACGTGGGGGTGTCCCTCCCGCGCCTGGTCTGTGCCGTGGCCTCCCGCCGGCCGGCTCCCTGGAGGCCCGGAGGACACAGCCCCCTGCACACAGGCCCGGCAGCCCGCGGCAACAGAAGTGCTCCTGTGTTCACCCGCGCCCTCGCCTTTGGGGACAGAGTCGCCCTCGCTGACCAGCACGGCAGCCACACCTACAGGGACCTGTACTCCCGCAGCCTCAGCCTGGCCCGGGAGATCTGCAGGCTCCGTGCGTGCACCGACGGGGACCTCCGGGAGGAGAGGGTCTCCTTCCTGTGCTCCAACGACGTCTCCTACGTGGTGGCACAGTGGGCCTCGTGGATGAGTGGGGGCACCGCCGTCCCCCTCTACAGAAAGCACCCCCGGGCCGAGCTGGAGTACTTCATCCAGGACTCCCGCAGCTCCGTGGTCCTCGCTGGGCAGGAGCACGTGGAGCTGCTGAGCCCGGTGGTCAGGAAGCTGGGGGTCCCGCTCCTGCCCCTCCCACCCACAGTCTACTGTGGGGCGGACAAGGACCCCGGGGAGGAGCAGGTGCCGGAGCGGGACTGGAGAGACCGGGGTGCCATGATCATCTACACCAGCGGGACCACGGGGAGGCCCAAGGGCGTCGTGATCACCCACCACAACATCTGGGCCACGGTGAGTGCTCGGGGGCCACCACAGGGAGGCCAGCCCCGGCAGGTGCCGTGTCTGGGGCAGCAGCCTTCTGTCCATTTACCTTTCTGTAGGGCCCTTCGCAGCTCTCAGCATCCCCCCAGCCCAACTTGAACCTCACAGCACTGAAGGGTCCTGGGGCCGTGGGGCCACCAGCTCCACTAACCATGTAGGATGGCTCTTGGGAGGGGCTGAGGCATGCAGCGCCCAAAGTGGGACATTTATGGCCCACTGGGCGGCTCCAGGCCCGAGGCGTGCAGAGCACAGAATGGGCCCCTGACGCCATCTGAGGTGGTTTTCAGAGAGACCTGCCGTACGCGAATGTCCAGGACTCACCCTCTGCACCTGGAGTCGTGCTTGTCTGGGAAACAAGAAAGTAGGACCTCGTGTTGCCGCGGCCTGGGCATCATTCTGCATCCCACAGCCTCAGTTCCTGTCTCTGTAAGACTCCCCAGCCACTTCATTTACCTGCAGTTTACAGCCTTCTTGCTTCCAAAAAGCATTAGCCTGTGCAATAAAGACTCCTAGACGTAGAAGTTCAGAGCCACGAGAGGAAGGTCAGAGGTCCGCGCCGCCCAGTCCCAGGCTGAGTCAGTGGTGCCTGAGTAGGGCTGGCTGCAGCACGATGAGGTCACATGTTGTCTCTGTCTCCCGGAAGAAGACATGCTTCTCATCAGGAGAGGCCATCTCTGGACCACATTTCTGGGGGGAGGGCAGCTACACCGTGTGCACGTGGCGGTCACTGCACACACAAGAGGACGTGCTCGCAGTGGGAGGTGCCGGAACTCGCGGGGTCAGACAGGCAGTGGAGGTTGGGTGGCTGGATCCCGGGGCCTGTGGGAGCCGAAATCACACCTCTGACCACCCGGGAGAGAAATGCCCTGAGTGTATGCAGAGCCTTGGGACCCCCAGGTCGAAGGCTCCTGGTTGGCTGAAGCCCCTGACTGCGTATGGCCCTGCTCCAGCACAGGCGAGGTTAAGGGAGAGCCGACAGAGCCTTGGTGTATTACTGTCTTCTTTAGACGCCGCTGAGGGCGGGGCAGTGAGAGAGCCCCCTCCACGGGCGGGGCAGTGAGAGTGAGCCCCCTCCACCTCTTCGCAGCTGGGGCCCCTCTGAGCCCTGTCTGTTGGTGGCTTCCCTCCCGTTCTCAGGCCATGCTACTGTCCCACAGGTGACGGGGCTGGTCCACAAGTGGGCGTGGACGAAGGATGACGTGATCCTCCACGTGCTCCCACTGCACCACGTCCACGGCGTGGTCAACAAGCTGCTGTGTCCTCTCTGGGTGGGGGCCACCTGCGTGATGCTGCCCGAGTTCAGTGCTCAGCTGGTAAGTCGGGGTGGGCTCCTGGCACCACTGGATCTGGACTCCCACCCAGGGGTGTGGACAGCCAGTTGTGGATTCCTGCTGCCTCGGGAGCAAGTGACCCTCCCCCGGGGCTTGAATAACGCAGGTTTACTCTCATAGTTCTGGAATCTCACGGAGCTAAGTAACGTCAAGGTGTGGCAGGCTTGCGTCTCTCCGGAGGCTCCAGGGAGAATCTACTCCCGGCCTCTTCTGGCTTCTGGAGGCACCCACATGGCTTGCCTTGTGACTGCATCCCCCAGCCTCTGCTTCTGTGTTCCCACACTACCGCTGCCTCTGCGGTCGCCCCTCCCCTGCCTCCCTCGCATGAGGACCCTGTGACCACATCCGGCCCCATGTCCAGGGCAACCTCCCTACCTCAGGACCCTTATCACACCTGCAAAGCCCCTTTGCCACGTGCAGTGACACACACTGGGAGGCTCTGCCTGTCGGCCTCGGTGTTCACTGTCCCAAGGCGTTCTGCAGGTTTAACGCTCGATGGAGCTCGTGCCTGTGTAGCTGAGGCACAGTGACAGCGGGAGTGGATTCTGGGGAAGCGCGCAGAAGGCAGACAAACCGCAGGGCTTCCTGCAAGTGCAGCAGAGCTGAGCAGGGAAGCACGTTTGACGCGCGGCCGATAAAAGCCTGCAGCCCTGAGTTTCAGGGTTCTGTGCATTTAGAAGCTTATGTTAGCAAGACCCCACTTGAGCATTACTGCATCTCCGGGCTTCGTCTGTGGAGTCTGTGTGAAGCAGTGTGTGGGTGACCAGAAGGCTCCTTGGTGTCCAGATGGCCTCAGGCCCTCTGAGCAGAGCTCAAGGAGCAGTGGGGTGACAGCGGCCAGCGCCCTACAGGGCTGGCTGGCGGGGCAGTGGCTGGGAGGACAGCTGGAAGACGGGTGGGGCTGTCCGCCCTCGCCCCGCAGGGTGAAGCCTGGTTGTTAACTGGGCTGCCCGGCCTCCACTGAGCCCTCATCAAAGACGGCTTCCTCTGGTCGCTCACGGACGAGGTTTCCAGCCGCGGGCACCGAGTCAGGGCAGGATATAGGGGCCGGGGCTCGCTCCCCTGCGGACTCTGAGGGCAGAGGCTGGGCGGTGGGCGCTCGGATGCCGGGGCACTGCCCTCGGGCCCAGCACCTGCTCAGGACTCTGGGTCCCTCATGAAGCGTGCTGCCTGGCGGACCTGTGGCCCCAGACGCTGTTCATCCTGGGGTCTGAGCAGTGGGCGTCGTGCTGAGGCAGGTGGGACTTCCAGGCAGCGCGTGGAAGGGGCTGCAGGCAGAGCTCGGGCCTCTCAGGCCCCATCCATACTGGGTCATTTCAAGTCAGGGACGTTGTGAATGAAGCTGCTGTAAACATTCTCCTAAAGCTCATTCTGGTTCTGGGCGCCCACCAGGCCGGGTGTATGTTTAATTTTGGCTCCGGAGCGGCCGCACCTTCTGTCCTCCCACAGCAACATGAGGGGCCCAGTGGCTCCACGCCCTCCCCGCACTGGGTGACCCATCGGCTCAGCCCTGTCGTGACACCTCGCAGTCGCCCCTGCAGGCAGCCACCTCTTCTCACCTGTGCTGACCTGCTCCTGAAACCTGCGTCAGAGTCACGGCACCTCACGCTTCTGTGCCTCCCTCCTTCCCCTGAGCACGCTTTTGAGGCCTCCCCGGCACACGTGTCAGTGGCCAGCTCCTTCCAGCACCAGGGCCCCCACGCTGCCGTCCATTCACTCTCCTGCTGACGGGCATCTGGCTTGTTGCAGGTTTTGGCTTCACGAGTGAAGCGGTGGGGAACACCCTCACGTGTCTGTTTGCGGATGCACGCTTTCACTCCTCCAGGAAAACAGCCAGGGTTAGAATTGCTGGGTCACAGGGTCACGCGTGTTTAACGCTGGGAGAAACGGCCAAACCCTCTCCGAGGTGCCTGTCCCTGCCCCGGCCCCGCCGGCTGCACGCGAGCGAGCAAGCGAGGGCGCCCACACCTCCCCGCCCCGGGAAGCCCGCGCTTCTCGTCACGCAAGCGCTTTTCCGTGCTTGCTGGTCGTCCGAAGATGCTCTGTGAACTGCCTCTTGAAGCCTTTGTCCGCTTTTAACTCAAGCTGTTTGTCGTGTTATAACCCATCAGCAGGTGCTCTGTGTACATTCTGGATAAAAGGCCTCCGTCAGAAATAACGCCGTGAATCACCCCCCAGTCTCTGGTCCGTCGTTTCACACTTTGCGTAGTGTCTTTTGATAAAGAGACTTTAAATTTCGGTAAGTGTAGCTCGGAAGCGGTCACGGAGGACACTGTGACGCAGCCTTGGGGAAAGCGTTGCTGTCTCACTGATAGACATGATGCAGGCCGCCATGTTGTGTCCACGTTAGCTCCCGGACGCTCCTGCCCCTTGTTCCCCGAGGGTTTAGTTACAGAGGTTTGAATGTTACAAACGGTTTTCTTTATCCGTTTATCACTGAGATGAGCAAATACTCTGCTAGTGAGGTTGGCCACACGGAAGCTGCTAATGTCGCCGCTTCCCTCGTCTTGCAGTCGCCCAGTGCGCTTTCTGGGCATGACGTACTGTCCCTTCTACACACCGCCAGGTCTGGCTGCCCAACGCTTGAGTCAGGACTTTGCACCTGCGTTTACGAGGACCACGGGTCTGTAGTCTTCCCGTGACGTCCTTGCCAGGCTTCTGTGCCGGAGTCTGGCTCGTTCTTGAAAGGACTGTGGTGGCCCCTCCCCACCGCTTCTCGCTCTCTGGGAGTCCATGTGAGGCCAGAGGTGTTCCTTCCTTAAGTGTTTGGCAGAACTCGACTGAAGCCATCTAGGCCAACCTTTCTGGGAAGGTTTTAATCAAGGACTCAGTTTCTTTAGCAGATAGAGGACTTACAATATTTTGTTTTGGTTTTTGTGTCGGTTTTGGTACATTTTTATTTTTAAAATAATTGTGCATTTTGTCCAAACTGTCAGATCTATTGGCACAAAGGGGCTTACAGTTTCTCTCCTCGGCCCTTTAGTGTCTCTCAGGTCTGCAGTGAGGTCTCCTTTAACGTCTGGCGTCGGGAGCGGGCCTTCTCTCTTCCCGAGCCCCTTGGCTGAGCGGCGCATCGGTGCCGTCAGTCTTCTATGAGAGGCAGCCTCGCTGCTCCTCTCCCTCCCGTCCTTGCCACGCCCTCCTTCCCCTTCACGACCCACGGCTGCTGCCGCTGCTCTGAACACTGCCCACAGAGCGCCTCTTCTGGGCTCCTCGCTGGCTCCTGCAGTCCTGTGTTTCCCTTGTGGGTTGTTTCCTGTGACCCTGACGAAGTGTTTTGATGGTCCTTGAGGTGCAGCTCTGCTGACAAGTTCTCCCAGCTGTGTTTGACTGAAAACGTTTTCTTTGCGTGTTCTTTTTAAAACACAGCTTCATTGAGATGTAATTCACCTATTGTAAACGATTCAGTGACTGTTATAAATTTCCTGGGTTTGTTCAACTGTTACCTCAATGCCTGCTTCCACCTCCAGCCCCCGCCCCCCCCCAGCTGTCCTCTGTCCTTTTCTGGGCGTTGCATGTAAGTGGCGTTGCATACTGTGTGTCTGACCTCTGCACTCTGCGGAGTGTCTCTGAGCGTTTGTTGCCCATGCTGCAACGTGTGCATTAGAGGCCTGCTGCCTGGTTGGTGAGGAGCGCTTCACCGTGGGCTGGGCCACCGCGGGTTCGCCTCTTTGTCATCTGTGGGGCACTTGGATTGGCTCCAGTTCTTGTCTGTTAGGAATAACGCTGCTGCGGGCACTTCTCATTCACCCTGAGCAGATACCCTGAGCAGATACGTAGGAGCAGAATTGCCAGGTTGGTCTGGTACGTTTACTGTTCATGTTTTAAGAAACTGCCAGACTGTTTTCCAAAGTGGCTGTGTTGCTCACATTCTCACCAGCAGCGTATGAGGGTCCGGTTTCTCCAAGTCCTCACCAACACCCGTTTGTTGGTTTTTAAAATCGTTACGACAGTCATTGTAGTGGATACGACATGGTGTCTCATTGCAGTTTAAACTTGTCTTTCCCTGACGACTAAGGACGGTGAGCATTCTTCACGGTCTTACTTGCATCCACGTGTCTTCCCCAGTGAGCTGTCTGTTGAGGTCTCCTGCCCATTTTTAACTTGGGCTGTTTATCTTATTACTGAATTGTAAGGGTTCTCTGTGGCCTGGATCCCTCCTTTATCGCGCAGATGGTTTGCAGATATCTTCTCTGCATTTGGCTTGTTTTTTTTTTTCATTTTATTCATGGTATCTTTTGAAGCACACGTTTTTAGTTTCGATGGAATCCATTTTATCAATTTCTAGATTTTAGTTTACGGTTTTGGTACATCTAAGAAGCCTTTACCGAACCAGAGATCCTGAAGATTTTCGTCTGTTTTTTCTTAAAAGCTTTATAGTCTTAGCTGATGCATTTAGGTCTCTGACCCACTTTGCCAAGTCTCACACACAGTGAGGTGAGGGTCTAAAGTGCGTCTTTTTGGAGGTGGCTGTTCAGTCATCTCAGCATTGTTTGTCGAAAGGATCACCCCACTGAAGTGACTTGGCTCCTGTCAGAATCAGTTGGCCATCAATGTATTGATTTATTTCTGGACTCGTCTGCTCTGTTGATATGCATGTCTGATCTTCCACCAGCTTCACATGCGTCGATCACCAGTGTTTTGGAGTAAGTTTTGGGGCCAGGAAGTGTGAGTCCCCCCACCCTACTCCTTTCCACGTTTGTTCAAACTCTCTGTGTCCACTGCTGTTCCGTGAAACTGCAGGTCAGCTTGTCAACTTCTGCAGAGCACGTTGGCTGGGGTTCGGGAGAGGTGCCTCCCCAGCAGCGCCGGGCCTCCCAGCCCGTGGGCGTGGCCGCCCCTCCACTGATCCCCCTCCACTGACCCCCCAGCCCGTGGACGTGGCCGTCCCCCCGCTGAGCACGCCTCTTTCCCGCGTCCAGGACGACAGGCCTGACTGTCAGGTTGTGGCGTCTCATCCGCACGTTGTATCGCTGCCCTCCTCCCCTTTCCGTTTCCGTCTGTCCTTCGCTCGGGTTGGCTCGTGTCTGACCTGTGTCCTGGTGCTCGTCTGGCCTGTCCCATGCACCCTGCGCCCCAGCCTCACACCGCACGCTCCCCGGGTGCGTGGATCTCTCACGCACTCCCCTTCTCCAGTGAGACCCTCGGTCACCCCTCATTTTGTTTACCTTTCGCTCTGAACTCTTTAATAAACTGTTCAATAGTTTATTATAATTTCCTGAAATTCTGTGTCTGATATTTCCGACATCTGGATTCCAAGGGTCTGCTTCTGTTGACTTTTTTCCTCAAGTACGGGTCACATTTTCTGTTTCCACATGGGAGCCGCCGTCCACTCCTGTCTGCCGTCACCACTCCATCAGCGTTGCGCTCCTGCCTGCCTGCGGGCGGCCACTTGCCGCCTCGTCCACTCTCATCCCAGCGGCTGGAAAAGCGTGAGGGGCCACGTCCCTGATGGCAGGTCTGAGTCCAGTCCCGGGGCCCAGTGCCCGCTCCTCCCTGACTCTCCTCCTCCTCCTCAGTCTCCTAGGCCAGACGTGCATGTCCCTGCACAGGTGACTCCACAGGAGCCCAGGGGCTAAGTCACCTGTTAAAGTGAGGACCCCCCTGGCCAGGGTGGGAGCCGCTTACAGACCCTGATGCTGAAGAAAAGGGGGTCCTCTGCTGAGAGCGCTGCTCCCAGAGCCGGGGGCCCACGCACATCTGTGCGCGGGTGATTCCTGCCCGTTGTGCTGTGCGCTTTTCTGTTTTCTCTCCAGGTTTGGGAAAAGTTCCTGAGTTCTCAGAGTCCACGGGTGAACGTGTTCATGGCCGTGCCGACCATATACAGCAAGCTGATGGATTATCACGACAGACACTTCAGCCAGCCTCACGTCCGGGACTTCGTGCGCGCGGTCTGTGAGGAAAACATTAGGTGAGTGAAAACAGTCCACCTTTTTGCCCAGAAAGCCTTAACGACCGCAGACAGGACGTATTTTTACTGAGTCCGCGCTGCTGAGGCCCGGGAAGCAGTGTTCCCTAAACCGCGGCGTCCACGTCCCCGCCTGGCTGCTGTGTCCCCGTTGCTGTTCCGTCTCTGAGTCCGTCTGTCCGTCCGTCCGTCTTGTGGGAGAGCCTGACGGACGAGGGCGAGGACATCCTTGCTGAGCCCACGCCTGCCCTGGTGCAGACCCTGCCCAGCAGGCGTGCTGGCCGTGCCGGCTCCTTCAGGGGCGGCAGTTTGCTCTGCGCGTTCTCAGAGCCTGCGGACCCGCCGCTTCCCCCGCCGCGGCTGGGGGCGCTCACCAACGAAGGCGTCACGTCGGTCCCC